GTCCGGGCGGGAGGACGTCGGAGGTGCTGCGGCACACCCTGCCCCCGCGCGAGCGCCAAGCATCCCAGAGAGGCCGTTTTCTAAGAATCAATATATTTTTTCCTTTGAAATAAATACAAACCAGTCTGAAAGGCAGGGGACCTATGGGAGAAGTGGGGCAGGCCCCAGTCTTTTTAGTACCAAAGGACTCTGGCGCGACCCGGAAACGCAGTTACAAATGAGAATAATTTAAATTCTCCGCTAATTACAGTATTTACAACAGCAGGGAAGGGGTCACCCTGCGCCCCACTTCCGGAAGGGCTAGGCAGCCGTCACCCCTGCTGGGTGCTGGCTCCTGGCCGGGCAGCGGCGGTGGGTGTCCTGCCCTTGGTCTGCCCGGCCCCCAGGCCCCCAGCCCCACCCCACAGGGCCAGGGCTGCGCAGGACCCCCTGCTGGTGCAGAGCGCCCCTGGAGTGTTCTGTACAGTCCAGCTGCACTCAGGGCGGGAGGGGCCTCCCCACCCAGCTTCCCCTGAGACTGGCCCCGAGACCAGGAATGAGTCAGTGCAGAGGCCGGTGCCACTCCAGTGGGCAGAGGGCGAGGTCAGGCGGCGGCGTCAGTCACTGTCGCTGGTCTCGCTGCTCTGCTCGCCCTGCACCTTGCTGCGGTGCTGCAGCGCCCGGTGGTAGGCGATCTGCACTGACTTGCGGATGTTAGACTTGCGGCCCTCCAGCATCTTCTCTTTGTCGAGGTCTTGGTTCACCCCCAGAGGAACGAGCTTGGTCCTGGGCAGCCACTGCCTGCGGGACAAGGTGAGGATCAGGTCACCCCGGGGAGCAGCGAGCCTCCCTGGCGCCCGGGACACCCTGGCGGCTCCCAGGGCACTGGGCTGACAGAGACCGACAGACAAGCTCGCTTCGGCGCGGTCACGCTTGACCTGGAGGAGCCTGGCCGCCGGTCAGGAAGGCGGGCTGTTCACCTCAGAGAACTTGGCAGTGTGAGAGGAGGCCTGGCCTAACCCGAACAGGTGTCTGTCAGGCACCTAGCAAAAGGATGATCTACGGAAGAGTGCCAGCAGGGCTTCAGCGTCTGAACTTTGTCCCCATGTCGCCACCAAGGGGAAACCAGAGCCTAGTAGCCATCTGAGCGGGCCGGTAGCCATCCCCGCCCGCCAGTTGCTGAGGGTCCTCTGGCGGCTGGCTACAGCTGTTTGTCAGTCTCAGACCTGTCAGCACAACCCCTTCCCTGCAGCGTCTACTCCTGGCCCCACTGACTTATCCGCCTGCCGCTGGGGCTTCCTGGGGCCACCCGGCCGGGGCTGGGCTTGTGGCCGAGTCACCGCGTGCTGCCCTCCTCCCTTACCAGGTCCGCTTGTTGTCAAAGAAGAGGACGAGGTAGAGATGCTCTCGGGCTTCCTGGGTCATCTGCTCCCCAAGCTTCAGCACCTCCAACGGTGGCACAGGGATGGGAACCCCGTGGTGAAACATACCTTCCCGGGGCATCTTTGGATCAATGATCTGCGAGCATTAAGGAGAGCGTCGGTGCGGCCCACCCCCCCACAGCCCGCCCCCCCCGCCCCCCCAGGGGGGGTTGGAGATCACATCTGCAGTGGGGACAGAACAAAGCTGCCGATGCTGGCCCTTGGCTTCTTCCCCCAGGAACTATTTCAAAGGCCGAGGGGCAGAGGGAAGGGAAAGTGCCAGGTGCCCCTCAGCGTCTTCTGCCGAAGAGCCCGTGCCTGCCGCTGTGCCAGCAGCAGCAGCCTGCGCTCTGGGGCCGGAAGGCAGGGGGAGACGAGAGGAGAGACCTACCAGAGCGGGGTACGAGGGGTACCCGCGGCATTTGGCCCACACCAGGTCCAGAGCGTCCAGGGGGGAGTCCTCATCCTCCGAGAGCCAGCCTGCTCCCCGGCCCAAGCTCTTCCTCACCACTTCGCAGGAAGGGGGCAGAGAAGGCGGATCAGCAGCCAGGGGGCTGGCACGGCCCTGACACTGGGCCCCCGGCAGCCCGGGCCTCAGGCGGGGGTACTTACTGCTGTGGCCCACGCCGCGGCCAGTGCCCACGGAGTAGGCCTCGTTCTCAGTGCCTGAGGTATCTTCGCTGCTGTCTTCGGGGAACGTGCCCCGGGAGAAGGAGGGCTTGCCCCGGCCTTGTTTCGAGGGTGTTGTGCTGTGGACAATGGGAGCTCACTCAGCTGGGGAAGAGCGGGGCGGCGTGCGGCTGCCCTCCGGTCCCCCGGGTCTAAGAACTGCCACACTCAGAGGCCCCCGTCGAGCTCCAGCGGGCCGGACGGGGCAGTGGTAGCTAGGTGCGGCCGGGACTAACACGGATCCCGGCCGGGTCTGCCCGATCCGACGCTCACAGGGAATGCAGAAGCCGGGAGCTCCATGGGCACTTCTGGACTCACTGTTTACGGCCGTGACTGTGCTGGTCAGACCGGCCACACGTGCCGGCAGAGGCGCCGGATCCCGCCTCCGCCGCAGGCCGGCCGGCGGCTTGGGCTGACGGCGACGCCACTCCAGGCCGGCCCAGTGACCTCTTCCTTTCTTACTTTACGTTTGTGTGTTTGCAGAGACCCTCGGCCGTACGGCCTGCCCGTCCTGGCTCAGGTGCCGCCACCCTACTGGCCACGGGCGGCTCCAGGGCAGCCCGGACGCGGCCCCGAGGGCCGTACCTGGTGCGGTCCGAGGCGGCGCTGCTGCTGCTGCTGCTGCTGGACTCCGAGTCGGAGCTGCTCCGCGGCAGGCTGCAGTCGTTGCGGTACACCAAGAAGCTCTTCTTCACTGGCTGGTTTCCCCCGCTGAAGCCATTGGCTGGTAAGTCTTGGTAGGGGGAGGGGAGGAGGGAAGGAGATGGTCAGGAAGACACGGGGCAGGGACGGCGCGGGGTGACGGGGACCCGAGCCTGGCTGCCCCTTCGGCGCCTGCCGGAAACCCCAACCTCGGCCGGCGCAGCCGGCTCTGGGCAGTGAGCGCCTCAGGCGGCCGCCCTGGCCCCCACCCGCCTCGGCAGTCACTGGCCTTTGGACACAAATGGCTTAAGGGCAGGAGACCCCAGGAGGCAGGAAAGAAAAGGTGAAGCGACACACTGGGAGGCCTGGCAGGAGCTGCGCGGGTCAGTGTCTCTGGGGCCAAGGGTGCCTGCGGGCCCTTCTGGTTCTGGCACTTTATGGGCGAATGAGGGGGAAGGTGGGAGTTATGTTGGGAAGGTAGCTTGGCTCACTCTCTTGGGGGCTGGGTGATGGTGAGGCTCACCCATTGGGGGGTCTTCTGTGGATTTATCACTGTCGCTGTCTGAGCTCGAACTGGGCCGGGGGCTCCTACCCCGCTTGCGCTGACGCAGGGAGCCCATGATGGGGAGCTGGGGGGGCCCCACAGGGCTGCCTCCGTGGCTGGGGGTCATCTGGCTCTCCCGGTTTTTGGGGGGCCGGCCCGGCCTCTTGGGCGGTCCAGCTGTCTTCGGGTTCTTTTTGGAGAACAGAACTGAGGTTCTCCTGCCCACCTCATGTGCGGGGGTTGAGGACATGTTGG